GTTGTTTTCTTATTTTATACATTAATAGTTCCATCCAGAACCTTTTTATTTCCATGTTTCTGGTACTCTCATAAATCTGACGCAAAAGCAGCATCTGCAAACAACACGGATGGATGACAAAGCTGCTTCTCTTGACCTACCGGGAATTAATTTTTGCTTCAAAAAAATGACCTGATGCGTCAATGAAAAGACTATTGTTGTGTTCCAGTTATGCTAAAAGGAATTAAAAATAATAAACAATTGTTGCTGAGCTCATATACATATTTAACCAGTAATTTAGCAGCAAAAGTGATTTTTGAAATATTGCTTATTTTGTCAGTGTAGTTTTCTATTAAACTGCAATTGATTAATTACAGACCCTGCAATTAACTCCCACTACCACATAGATAACTTTCTATTTAGTGAATGAGTGGATAATGGAAAAACAACCTCAGTTTATGTTGCACATATTGCCAAGAACTCAAACTTGGACCTTGATTTATATGTTTTTTTTGCATGATGTGCCACTATTTGATCATCAGTAACCAGGGGCCAGCAGAGCACATGTGCAGTGACCCGGCTGCTGCAGAACCGCTGTTCCCCTGTGATGGCTGGATGGGCACTATTACCCATGATTGGTTTGCCTGAGTCTCCCATCCAGGCCTGGGTGTTGGCCCTCCGGGGATCATGATGGCTGTCCGGGGCATTAATTATTGAATATAGTAGGAGGAATGGGAATGGTTAATTGCATAAAAATGAATGCTATAATCCATTGAATTGACATAATTAGAAATGGTGAGATTTCCCCTGAGGAATATGTTCTCATCATGACCAAACGTGGAGAGGAAAAAATTAAGCTGAAAAATGAACTGAGGATGCTCTTCCTTCCTCGTGAGTTTGTAAACGTCCTGGGGGAGATTTCAAACTTAGTGTGAGATTTTTTTAAAGCTGACCTACTATGCTTCCTTGAATAGCTCTATACAAAACATGTTCATTATGTTTTTTGCATAAATCATTCTGAGATAATGAGATTTTAGCCTGGTCAGTTCAGAAAGAGCTGTGTTAGGGCCTCTTGTCACTTTAAATCAGAATAATCTCCCGCTGGCCACGCCCCCCAATTCTGCATAATTAATTCTGCATAATTAAAGTTTATTGGTCCTTCAGAGAGCAAACTTATGTGATCACTTGAAAATTGCTTCCAAACAACAATATTATAATTTACAATTTAGCATCCAGGAAAAGTTATCACTATGACAGGAGTACCAACAATGATACAATTGTCTTTTCCAGCAGCCATTGTACAGCGCATACAGCAGTAAACCAGCTGATCAGCTTTATTAATTTTTTTTTTTGTTGGGTTTTGTAAGGGGACTTTGGGTTTGGGTTTTTTGAAAGGTGCCCTCTTATGAAATGTATTATACTGTTACTGTTATTATTGTTACCATATGTGCTGGAATTCTGCTTGGGTTGCTAGGTAACGGACTGGGCTTCACTGGGGTTGCTAGGTAACGGCAGTGCCTGCTGATTTGTGATGTTACATTCAAACTGATTGTTTTCCAGGCACTAAAAAACATTAATTTATTGACAAAATATATCTGACTGGCTGTTTTTTAAGTGCTTCGGTTGTTTTTAGCAGCAGCAGAATCCCAAATGGAAGTACAAAAACGTCAAAAAATGAGTGTTGATTTATATATCCTCTTTAAATAAGTTGCAGCGGCTGAGCTTGGCTGTCGGATGCCGAGTCGAGTCAGAGGAAGAGCTCTTCTCCTCTCTGTGTGTGTCAGTAAATGTGATTGGATAATGAAGGCAATCCGGCCTGACCACCCTGCGCCGCAGCTACTGCTGGCTCGGCTGCGTTACGGCTCGGAGTCTTCAGGGAGTTTGTTTCGGGTCAGTGATGGCATAAGAGCTCACTACAGCATTGCAGAGTCAGGCTGGGGCCTTTCCTCGGTTCGGTCTGCCTCGCTGACTGGCTCCGCTAGCTGCAGGCGCAACAGTAGAGTCATACTGATACTGCTATATGGCAGGCCGTTTATACATAAAATACGACTCACTTCCATTCCAGACATCTGAGAATGGTTTAAATTAGTAAATTAGGATATCTGTAACTATATTTTCACAAGACAAAATTCCTGTTTGAGATATCTCTATTTACATTATGACTAGTATAAATGACAACAGATTTACCGTTAATTTATATGGAGGCTTCAGATATCTACAATAAGTTTTTGACTATTTGAAACATATATTTCAGATACCAAGAATTATATTATGACTAGTTATAAAGTAAATTTAAGATTTTTTTGTTCTGACTAGTCCATATCCAAATTAAAGATATCTTGAATGACAAATTAATTCAAGATATCTCAAATGTATTTTTGGATAAATTCGGCTAGTTCAAATCAAATTGTGGATTTCTTGAAATCAAACAACTAGACGAAACTAAATCAGTTATAATTTTGACTAATTAAAATTCCTTTTTAAATTTTTAGATATCTGTAATGACAGCTTTTCTATTTCAGATGTCTTGAATTAACATACGGTCTAGTCAAAACATTACAGATTTATGTAGCTTATTGAAATCTTAAAACAATAAAGATAAAAAAAAATAGGAAAAAGTTTTGGGAAATGCACCATTTCAGCTTGGGAATGGGTGGACAGGAGCACTTTTAGCTTTTCAAAACATTTTTTATTGTGTTTGTTGGAAGGATTATTACAGATTAATTTGAGATTTCTTGACTAAATCTCTTTCAGTTTTCAGTGCAAACATCCCAGTGGAACAGAAACAAAACTAAACTTTCATTTTTTATGTTAAAAAGGAATTCAGATATCAAAAAATGTACTTTCAATTAGTCATAATTATGTTTGTGATATCTAAAATTGCAATTGCGGATGTGTGACCCTTAAAATGACAAATTTGAGATACGGTATTTTAATCTGTCAAAATGTAATTGAAGATATCTTGAATTATTATTCTTGCTAGTCAGAATGTGAAAGCAGAAATCTTTTTGGAAAGATGTACAAAATGTAGTGGTGTTCAGTCAAAATGCATTTTTAGACATCTGATAATCCGTAGTCAGACGAAACCGATTTTATGTTAAAAAGGCCTGCCATACATAAGCAGCTCAAGAGAGCTTTTGCGCAATTCTTAATTCAGACATCAAAATATGACATTTTGATTAGTTATAATTACATTTGTGATCTGTTTAATTGAAATTGCGGATGTGTGACCCTTAAAATGACACATTGGGTGACGTCATTTGAGATGCAGTGAAATAAATTTGCCAAAATGTAATTGAAGAAATCTTAAATTACTATTCTTACCAGTCAGAATGTGAATGCAGATATCTTAAATTATCGTTTCGGATAGTCAAAATACATTTTTAGAAATCTGGAATGTAATTACTGATAGTCGGACGAAAGAGATTTTTTGTTAAAACTGCCTGCCATAACTGCCGCTACTGATGATGACAGTACAAATATTGATGATGTAGATGGCACAAATGAGAGATAAACATGGAATTATAACCCCAGTGACCAAAGTGTGATGCTTAGCAGGTTTTTTTACTCCCCTCCTGATGCCGTTGTTTTTTAATTTAATTTCATCTCTCCGTGCTGCGTGTGATTCAGCCTGACAGAGCCAGGTTTGGTTTCCACGGCACTCTAAGAGATCACAATGAGATGCCTGGAGAGAAGCGTGGGCGCGCTGTCGCACAAGATGACACGTAATCAAATGTCCTTTTTGTATCTGCTCGGAGGTTGTTGTATTTTCGGGGGCAGCGGCGGGGGCGGCGCTGATGTCACAGCGAGATGCTGGCTCCAGAGGAGGCCGCGCAGACGTGCCAGCAGCGGCGCCAGGGGAGCCGGAGGGAGCCACGGAGGAGGCAGTTAGCAAAGCTGCATGCCGTCACTGTGATAAATCTCAGATCTGGCTGTACAATGAGGTCGATTCCTCGCACACCTTCACCGTTTGCTTCCCAGTGGCCGCTGTATTAGGAACACCTGTGCACACTGCAAAACCACAAAGTCTTACCAAGAAGTTTAGTTTCAACTGCAAATATCTTACAAGACTAGATTAACTTACAAGTAACTTTACAGTGAGATGTAGGAGCTTGTTTAAAGTAAATAACTCCTTTTTATTGATAATAAAGAGCTAGTTCTACTTGTAACAAGACATTGTGATATATATTCAATATATTCATTATATTGGTTCATCAATATTAAGGAAATACTGACTTAAAGAGGCTCCTATATCTTCCTGAAAAGTTATTTATCTTATGTCAAGAGTAATAAGATATTTGCACAATAAATTAGACAAAAATCCTTGGTGAGATTTTGTAACCAGTGTTCTCCTTCATTTGACGCACAGAAGCAAAAGAGGAAAAACGCAAAATCCTACCAGGCCTAGTTTCTGTTCAAAAACCTTGAAATAAGACAAAATTAACTTACAACCAGCTTTTCAGCAAGAAATAGGAGCTCATTTAAAGCAAATAATATCTCAATGTTATATTTTAAAAAGTTCTAGTTCCACTGGCAGATATTTTCACTCTGAATAAGTGAAATAATCTGCCAGTGGAACTAGAACTTTTTCATCAATATTAAGGAATTATTGATTTCAAACAAGCTCCAATATGTTGCTGAAAAGTTTATTTTAAATGAGTTTTATCTTATTTCAAGTGTAGTAAGATATTTCCACTAGAAACTAGACAAAAAAATCCTTGGTAATAACATTTTGTGTTTTTGCAGTGCAGTTGCTTTCCTAACACAAGCACAGAGCAGAAACTCTGCGTCTAGATGTCCTGAAACCAACTTTCTACAGTTCTAACCGAGCAGCAGAGAATATTTAAGTCAAGTTTATCTGTGCAGCACATTTCAGCAACAAGACAAGTTCAGAAAGCTTCATGCGATAAAAACATTGCACCCTAACTAATTATGAAAACACCAACAAATGCCATCTTCAGGCAAATATACATCAAATATCTTGGTGGTTCAGTGATTTAAACCTAACGTCAGAGTCTTACAGTCTCTTCTCTCAGTGTAGGGACTTTGGAGCAGGGAGGATGTTCTCTATCTTCCTGGTTTTAGTCAGAACTTCAGCAGCAGCGTTCTGGATCTGATTGGTTGCAGTAATCAATGTGACTAAATATAAACACATGGTTCTGTTTCTGTAGATCTTGTTGGACATTATTTCTTTAAACCTGGAAATGTTGTTCAGGTGATGGAAGGCCGACTTTGTGATTCTGCATCCAACTGAAGCAGCTTAATCATCAGTTATTCTGACAATTGATCGATTAAATGGATGAAAAAAATTTGGCACATTCTGTAGATTCTTTATTTAACCACTTATTATTTTATGCAATACTACAAATGCATTAACATTTTATTACCTACAATGGCACTCCTTCAGTGTACACTTGGTCGTTTGTAGCAAAGTGTATATCTGCTGCTAAAAGCTTCTTCTAACATCAACATGTGCATGATTTTTGCTTGAATTAAGGTCAATATAAAGCAAGACTGGTCTGTTGATTATTTTCTATTAACCCATTAATAATTGGATAGCAAAAGGTGATTAATATGAGATTTTTTTTAGCAGAATTTGAACCAGGTCAAGCTAAAATTATCCAACAGGTTGAGCTTTGGATAGAACATATTTATAGACAAAGACTTTTTTTTAATCTAAATGAAAAACATATTTTAGTAATTACACTTTGGCTTAATTATTGCTCTGATTGGGTTATTTTACTAAAAGGCTGCAATCACAGCCTTTTTTAGAGTCAGTTAATGATTCATTGATTACCAAATCAGTTGGCAATTATATAAATATTTGATTCATCACGATTATTGTGATTAATCGTTCCGGGCCTGTTAAAAACACATAGGCAGTTAACAGTGGGCTCCTGTGGAGCAACTTGTTCGTTTCTGCCCCTTATGTGCATGTAAATATCTGAGCAGCAGGATAATGCAACATTTAAATCTTAATTAATCTCTAATGCGTACTTCCACCATCTTAGGAACTTTATTAGGCAACTTTTCAGATCCCTCTAGTGCATTTTTTTTTTTAGAAAAAGAGACTCTGGCAAATCAGTAAAGCACGTATGGTTCCTACTTTTCTCTACGTACCTTAAACCGTCCCACAGGCCTTACAGGTGGCTAAGTCCTTGCACAGCACTTTTCCGAGTGCAATAAATATTTTTCCCCCAAATTTAATGAATACTTGTTTTAAATTGAGCAGCTGTACGTGAAAATGAGTTCGTACTGCACTCCACTGGCCTCCGCAGTCAGCAGATCGCAATCCAACGGAGAACCGTCGGCATGCGACTGTGGGATACTATTATGTAAATATGGAGCCAAACCTCAGAGGAATAGTTCCAGCACCTGGTTGAAAATGTGACATGAATATTTAAGGCGGTTCTGAAGGAAGACAGGAGTCCGGTACAGTACTTTGAAGGCATGTTTCACTGAGTATGCACAGTGTTGACTGTTGCACATTTTTCTAGCTGTTATGAGGCTTTCAGGTTCAGCTTTCATGTTGGTTTTTATGCAGACTGTTTTAATTAAAATGTTGAAAGTAGGGCTGCAACTATTTATGATTTTAATAACCAATTATTTGGTTCATCTGATAAAAAATTGCCACATTTTTAACTGATTTTTAATTACACCACCAGAGCTTATTTTATAAAATATTATTTAAAATAAACCAATAAATAAATTTTAAAAAATCAGCTTGTTTAAATAAGAGGTTAAATATTTTATTACCTAAAATGCAGTAACATAGCATTATTTTTAGTGAATTTGAATTGGGTGAAGCTAATACTATACGACCTGCAGAGTTGTGGGTAAAACATATTTACAGACAAATATGTTTTTATCTTAAATGCAAAATAATATATTTTGTACAGTTTTGGGTTAGTTAATGCTCTGAATATGTTGTATATTCCAGTTAGCAAATAATTTATTACTAGATTATTTTTAATTATTGAATAATTATTTTAGTTGTCATGCAGAAAGCTTTAAATAAAATGTTAAAACAACATTTCGAGCTAGCCTGGTAAAAACTAGCCCTTTGTTCTTCGCTTTGCGTCGTACAGAGGGTCTGGACTGGTCTGTGTTGAAGTTTTACATTTTATTCAGTCGCAAACGTTGTCATGGCAACTATGACGTTTGTAATGCGCCAGTGCGTATGAAGCTTACCGGAAGTTTCCTGCGCTGTAAACAACCAATCTTCACCGTTGTGGAGCCCAACTAGATCGCTATTGATGCTAAATAGGTATTTGGAAGTGCGACCAACACGGACTGAATGGCTTTGTTGACTTGATATTGCTAAAACTACAGGCAGACTACTTTTCTAAAACAGCGCAGAAAATAGACGTCATCGTTCACTCTGTTCGCTGATTGGTCCGGCTGAAAATCTACCGGGAAAAGCCCACACGGAGGAGCAGTGAAGGAGGATTAGCATCGAGCAGAAAGGCTAATTGTGGACGTGTGCACCTGTGGAGATGTTCAGCTGGTATTGTGACTGCTGTTTTGATCCGAACCGGGGAGATTCGGGTAGTTTTCCGGGCTCCGGCGAGCTGCGGCTCCCCGCTTTAGGAGCAGCAGAGCGGGGCCGCGGACGCCCCGAGCCCCCTCCACACCCCCGCTGACGTGACGGAGAGACGCAAGATGGTGAGTGGTTACTATGGCAGGTTACTATGGCAACCCCAGGTCTCTGCAAGAGCTTCCATTTCGCACAGCGTGGGAGAGAGATGGAGAGAGGGGTGGAGAGAAGAACCCGCAGAGAAAGAAGGGTGGAGAAACCAGCAGAAGAGGTGAGGGATGGAAATAAACACACGTTGGGTGTAGGAGAAGAAGAAGAAGAAGGAGAGGAGGAGGGAAAAGAGTGATGGAGAGGTGTGAGCGATGGGGTGAGACTGCGGATCAGAGGGCAGGAAGGCAGTGACGCCGGACCGGATCGGTGCACGTGCTGGAATGTTTCAGGTCTGGTTTGCTATCAGTCTGCTGCTGCGCTGCATGTTCCCACTCTTTATCTCCTCTTCCTCCTCCTCCTCCGGCTCGGCGGGAGACATCGTGTCGGTCTCTGTGACGGGGTCTCCATAGAGACGTCCATCAGTCAGTCGGTGTCGGTGTTTTTTGCGGGCAAAGCCTTATCGTGTTTGTCAGTGTGAGTGTTTATCTGTGCGTGTGTTAGTCGGGGTGTCACTCATAGGGAAGGCTGGGGCGAGGCCTGAATGGATGGGGGCCACGGGAGCGCTGCTTATCACGCATGCATGCACACGTTGCTTGTTTGTTTTGAAAAAGACAAGCCTTTCTACATAAAACTCTGGCATGCAGTCGGGGAACTGTAGATACACAGACAGTCGGATGCATAACAGGAGTATTTCCACCTCTGCCCTGTTGCATCAACCTACCTGAATATAGATCTTTGATCCTACATCACAAGTTTTCCTGTACAAATAGTTGATTTTTGCTCTTTTCTAGCTAGTATCTGTTGAACAGTGTTTCAGAAAGTTTTTAAGATCTTTTTAATGCAACCTTCAATAAAATTTAAGAATGAAAACTATAAATATATGTTGGTTAGGGGCATTCACACCAGCTCTGTTTAGTCCGCTTCCATTTGCCTAGAAAGTCCGGTTCGTTTGTAGAGGTGTGAACAGGCAATCGAACTCCGGTCCGCTTAAATCGATCTGGGTTTGCAGGAAGCGGACTATAGTGCAGGGCATTCTGGGTAAATACAACCAAAACAAATGAAAGAGCTAGCTGGAGGAATGATTCGTTGTCTTTACAAAAGATTTAAGAGAAATCCTACAACTGCTGAAATTTGACGCCACTCCATTTTGTTTACATTTTGTGATGAAGGAAGTTGTGCTCAGTATCTTCATCTGAGATTTTTGTGTTGTTTCCTCCAGTGGTTCTAAGTGCAGCGCCCCCACAGGCGAGGAGGGGAACAGGGTTTCCAAAGGGTTTGGTTTGTTTGACACAGTGAAAACACAGGAGCTGAAAATATAATAAATGTTGTAATTTTTGTTGCCAGTAGAACTGAGTCTATCAGGACATCAGGTGTGAAAATGTCTTACACTGCTAACCTTAACCGCCAAGCTTAGACGTTTTTTTTTTTCATATGGGTTGGCAGCAGAAGTGAGTGGTGAAACAAAAGTTGTCCAGCCAACTGGTCATAAATAAAAAAAAAGGTAGCTAGCTAGTTAGCAATGCTATAATAGCAACTATTTACCAGTACCCTGAACTACCTCGAGTCACAGAGGGTAATGGAGATTTTTGCCAAACAGAAAATGGTCCCTCCAGAATACTACAGAAGACCAAACTATTGTGAGATTTATCAAAACCTCACTGAATTTACAAGTAATTTATTTTATAATTAGTGGTAATTAGTTGTGTGAAGATATTTACAGTGTACCTTTATTTTCAATCATTTATTTTCCATAGAAAAAATGGCAGATATGATTCTGTATACTGAGCGGTGTATACTTGAGGGTCCACTGATCGAAGCTTTATCAATTAAAAACACAATATATACACAAAAGCCACATCTAAATGAACAATCAAACGAGTTGTATTGCTTGAAATGAGTTCAAAGAGAACAAGAGTTTAACAAACAGGTCAAAATAAAAATAGAAAGACTTGTTCTTTGAGTATTTTTTATTAAAAACATGATTCTGTTTAGTTGAGCTAAAGAGGCTAAAAATAAAATGTTTCTTTACGTCTGAAAATCAAAACATCTTCATCTTTAAAGCACTCATCTTCTCTTGGCATCTTTTTGTTTTCTTGCAGGATATTGAGATAAATTTCTATTCTTTGATTTTTCTCTTATTTAAATATCCAACTTGAATCCAAATTTAAAATATTGATACATATTATCCTTATTAGCGTGTTACTGGCCTTGCTTCAGCTCCGTGTGTAAAACGACATGCAGACGACCTTGCCCTCGACCTTTAACGCCTAATAAACACTTATAATTACCCTTCTAATTAGAAAGATGCCCTTGTCCTGCACTCATCCGGAGCAGTTGTGCGTGAAAGCTCAGAGTGAGGTAGACTTATCTCAATGTTTAATTTAAAAACGGCACCTGTTAGCTCTTAAGTGCTGCTGTTACGCTGCTTTGTTGCAATGCACCGACTTCTCCGGCCCAATTAGTGGAGCGGCGAGCTGTGTCCCGGTGTGTGGATGGGCTTGGAGCCAGGCTGCAGCTGTTAGATTAGCAATCACAGGTTCTCATTCTGGTGGTTCTGCATCGCCTAAACCCAGAAAAGCTTTCAACAGCACGAAGAATAAATTCTGCCTCTGCATTTTAAAA